AGTTATTGAATGATTGTTTTATTTAATCCTTTTCTCTCCAGAATCTGTTTACTCCAATTTTCTTACATTCATTGTGTGTGTGTGTGTGTGTGTGTGTGTGTGTGTATTCAACATTCAAACCCAGGGTCTCACAAATGGTCTACCACTGAGTGACATTCCCAAATAGAAGGTTTTAAAATAATACATTTGTTCTCCTTCTCTTGTGCATTTATTCTGTGGGGGGAAAAGTTCTTGAGGTGCCAGGCAGCGGTGGTGCATGCCTTTAATCCCAGCACTCAAGAGGCAGAAGCAGATGGATCTCTGTGAGTTTGAGGCCAGCCTGGTCTACAGAGCTAATTCCAGGGCAGCCTCCAAAGCTACACAGAGAAACCCTGTCTCAAAAAACAAAAACAAACAAAAGTCCTTGAGGCTAGGAAACAATTCAGTCTGTAAAGTTTTTGCCTCACAAGTATGAGGACCCAACTGATCACCAGAACACATGTAAAAGCCAAACTTGGTGGTTCATGCTAACAACCCCAATGAGTGGAGACAGGTGGATAGGTGGATTCCTGGGGCTTGCTGGCTAACTAGCCTATCCTACTCAGTGAATCCTTGTCCTGAGGAATAACATCTGAGGCTGACTTCTGGCCTCCACATGCACACACTCACATGTACACATGCATATGTGAACACATACACACACACACACACACTCACACAATCTTGCTCTAGTTTTAGTCAGTTTCCAATCAGACACATTTATATGCATGTATTTCATCCACATTTTTTTACCTGAAAAACTTGAAACATACTTTAACTGCTTTTAAACAGCAATTTAAAACATACATATACACATACATGGATGTGGTGGTTCACACCTGTGATTCCAGCATGCAGGTGCCCTAGCAGGTAGGTTACTGTGGCTTTCGGGGCAACCTGGGCTTCAGGGTGAGAGCCTGTTTCAAACAAACCAAAAACTAAAAATGTAACACAAGTTCTAATTGGACTTAATAATAAAAGCCCAGAGTTAAATAGAGGGGTAAATGATAAAAGGTCAGAGAAATAAAAGAGCAAGCCACAGCCACACCTTACCTCACCAACTTCTCAGCTGAAAAGAGCCTGAGATTTGGTCTCCTCCTGCCTTATAATCCTCTCTCCACCCAGTCATATCACTTCCTGTTTGTCTGTACAGACCTCCAGACCTCTATGGTTAACTAGTGGCTAGTTCTGCCCTCTGATCTTCAGGCGAACTTTATCTGTTAGAATACAAACAAAATATCACCACATAAAAATAAAAGCAAAATATGCACACAGGACTGTACACACACTTTTGTATCTCCTATACACACACACACACACACCTGACATCAGATCTCCAGCTTCACGGAAGCAGGTTTCTTTACAGTGGAATGATGTTATAACACAAAGTGTCATGAAGTTGAACTTGCAGATAAAGACTAACAATAATATAACAGCATATTTGCTTTAGATAATGAAGTTCTATATAGACTGCTAGATGGTTTTAAAAATTAGTGTCTCCCCTAAGATGTGTAGTGATCAGAGTGGTCTTTGAACCATGATGAAGGTATACCCGATGGCTAGGGGAGCAGGCCTCAGAAGGGCTATTGTCTGGAAGCATCCTAAAGAAAAGGAGTATAGAGAAGACTGGCTACTTCAGAGACAGGAAGACTTGTCAAACCTTACACTCTCCAGTTTTCACCTAACTTCCAGGCATGTACACTGTCTGCCCACAGCCCTACCACAGTCTCAAGCATTGCATGTTGCAATGTATGTGTGTGTCTTGCACATTTGTGTTGTGGTTATAAATGTAAGAAACACTAAACAGTAGTCTTTTTCTGTTGAATATTGTAAAACATTTGTTTATAATAATGAATTCAAATATTTTTTATCTCCCAACTATGTAAAACCTTTATACAAACATTTTAATCTCTCACACACACACACACACACACACACACACACACACACGTACACGCACGCGCATGCGTGCTGTTAAAACTTTATGAACACACAGACCCTGCCTGCTGCAATGGCAGACTGCAAGTGACTTAAGTGGGCTACCTTCTACTATCATTCATCTCTTTTGCACAACTTCTTTTAAAAACAGCCCATCTTAAAAGACTGTGAGGTCAGACCCCAGCCAATGGGGAAAAGGCACAGTCACCTCCTATATTAGAGTAAGAACCAAGTGACTTCCTGCCCTGATGTGCTTGCTCTTCCTCGTTTATGAATAGTGCACCCTCTTTTTTTTGTAATTAGTACGAGTATTTTGCCTGTATTTATATGTATCTACTTACCACATGTGTGCCTGATACCCATGAAGATCAGAAGATGTCAGATCCCTTGAAACTGGAGTTACAAATTGTTGTGAGCCATCATGTGGATGCTGGGGACTGAACCCAGATCCTCTACAAGAGCAGCCAGTGCTCACAATCTCTGAGCCATCTTTCCAGCCCCTATCACACCCTGGTAACCAAGAGTAAAACTGTATCTTGTTGAGACACTTTAACTGGAGTGGTGGTCTCTTTTGGGGGGACCCCAAATTTATTTCTATCATATATGCACATTCATACCTATTTTCCTATTTGTGTATAGGTCTTTCCCTTGTGTAAATACTTAGGCATGAGTTGCAGGGCCTGATAGTATTATGAACAACTTAAAAACAGTTGTCTGTTTTCCAAGGTACCGATTCTATTTTACATTCCCATCAACAATTTGAGTGTTTCTTCCCACTGTGCCCTTCAACACTCGGTATGGTTTTGCTTTCAACACCTGTCTCACCCTTATCAAAGCTGGTATCTTGTTTACAGTTTCCCCTTGCATTTCCCTACTACACTGACTAATGACACTGAGAATCTTTTTATGTCTGTATTTATACTTTTGATTTTATTTATTTTTTAGTATTTATTTTATTTCACATACATCTGTGTTTTGCCTGCATGTATGTCTATGCGAAGGTGTTAGGTCCCCTGAAACTGAAGTTACAGACAGGTGTGAGCTGCCATGTGGATGCTGGGAATTGAACTCAGGACCTCTGGAAGAGCAGCCACTATTCGTAACCACTGAGCCAACTCTCCAGCCCTTGTTATTTACACCTTTGAATATCTTCTTTGGTGACATGGTATTAGTATAATCAAATATTTGATCTTTTTAAAAAAAAGACATATTTGTTTTTGCTTTATGTGTATGGGTATTTTGCCTGAATGTTGGTCTGTGTACTGTGTACATAAAGTTCCTGCAGACACCAGAAGAGGACACTGGATCCTCTTGGACTGGAATTACAAGCAGTTGTAAATTGCCTTGTGGTCCCTAGGAAGTGAATCTAGGTCTTCTATAAGAGCAGCGGGTGCTTTTAACCATGGAGCCATCCTCACTCCCTTTTTTTTTTTTTTGAAGACAGGCGCTCTTACAAACGTCAGCCTTGAATGGGTTAAGGATTCAAGGATGGCTTGAATTCCTGATCTCTCTGTCTCTACTGCCTAAGGGCTAGGATAGATCACGAGCATGTGACACCACACCCAATGTGTGCCTTTCACATTTAAAGTTCCAGGTAAGCAGTGTACAGTTTGGGTCTTAGCGCAGCCTCCTCCAGTCAGGGTTTCTGTCATGCTGGCTATCCTGGAACTCTTTATGTAGACCAGGCTATCTTCTACCTCTGCCTACTTCTTCCTCCGGACTGCTGTGATTAACTAAACGTGTCACCACACCCAGCTTCCTTTCTTTCTATGTTAGGCAAGCTGGGAATGGGTGAATGGTGCCCACTCTGATGAAGGAGCTCGCTTATTTCATGTTCTGAATTGAGGAGGCGTCTTGGGCTTTTATTAACTAAATGAGTACAATCTAATCATCAGTGTGGTGAACTCAGAAAATGGAGAGGGATGGAAGGGGAAATAAGAGTGTCGATAAGGAGCTAGAATGGAGCAGCCAGGTTAGAACCCTAACATCATTCTTCAATGCTGTCACTAGGTGAGTCCCACCTCTCTGAGCCCCAACTGGCTTAGGTATGTTGGTGAAGGAGTTGGGGTGGGGAATTGGGATGTGTCCAGTGGTTGAATATGTCCAGTATGCACATAGGTCTAGATCTGATCCTTAGAAAGTGGGAGCTATTGAGAGAGGCTAAATTTAAAAAATATTTAAACATAGTCAAATTAAAAATAATTTATAAACTATAAGATGTTCTGAAATTGCTGGGCCGTGGTGGCGCATGCCTTTAATCCCATCACTCAAGAGACAGAAGAAGGTGGATCTCTGTGAGTTCGAGGCCAGCCTGGTCTACAGAGCAAGTTGCAGGACAGGCTCCAAAGCTACAGAGAAACCCTGTCTTGAAAAACAAACAAACAAACAAACAAACAAACAAACAAAAACAAAAGTGTTGATTGATCCTTGGAACAAAACTGACCATATCTTATTTAGTTATTCACTGGCTCTGATTTTAAAATCAAATGTTCTCTTAGGAAGTGTCTAGTCAGCCTTCTGATGTTATAACAAAATCCTTGAGATAATTAAGGTTATTTGGCTCACCATTTTGGAAATTCTAGGCCATGATCAAACAGCCCTTTTGTTTCCAAAGTGCTGAAGCAAAATCCTGAATCAGGGAAGCAGGAAGGGTGAGGAAAGGCCTGAAATTGCACAGCCCCCTTCAAGGGTACTCTCAGTTTATGTCCTGAGGACCCCATAAGGCCCTATCTCCCAAATGCTTCACGACCTCCCTGTGGTGCCACACTGCGGACCGGAACCTTCCACATATGGACCTTTGTGGAACCAAGGTCTAAACTACAACCTAAAATCATTTTCCCTAATTGCTTTTCTTCCTATTTTTTGCCATTAATATTTAGTTTGGGAACATAACATTTAATGATTAAAAAAAAAAAAACAGGTTAAGAAAAGAGGATAGCAGATAATGGATGAAATTGAGATACATGGCAGGAAGTTTAATCTTCTAATTCTTTGAGTCAAACTGATGATGTCACTGGAGGAAGAGAGTCAGTTGGAACCTGGTTTCTGGCAGTTACTAGAGGAGCTGTGGCTGAGCACAGGGTACCCAGGAACCTCCCTGGGCCTTAACCCCCAAAGCTGCCAGTATTGTGTGTTCAACCCTGTGTACAAGAGACACAGGGCATCTTGGGACTGAGAGAATTATCTGGAATGGAGAAGGACAACCCCCCACACTTGGTGACTCCCATATCAGTGAAGGCTATCATCTCAAAGATTGAGGCTGCCCAGCTAATTCGGACTCAGGAGGTAACCCCAGAGATGAGGAAACACCCTTCTATTAGGGTCTGATGTCATGTTTACACAAGATTCTAGCCTTTGGACCTTGGGGGTCCTGGGATACTTGACAATGTGTGTTTGCAGACAGATAAGTTCAGAGTGTCCACATCCTATGTTTAACTTCTGTAGAGTAGGCTGAGACCAACCATTCCTGTAAGGCAGGGCTGTAAGGTAACAGACCGTAGATAAGTGGGCAGAAGGCCCCTCCCTGGACAGTGTCTAGTGAGGGGTCCCAAAAGGCAGCGGGAGGGGGCAAATTTTAAAATTCAGACTCTGTGTTGACAGACTACCAGAATCCCCTAAGCCATGTCCCAGGAACACTTGGGGTGATGTCCAAAGGCTCAGACCACTTTGTATATGAGGCTCTATACAGTTGTGGCTCAGTCTCCGCCATCTCCACCTAAATCAGCACTTACAAGGAGCAGAATGGGGTAGTGGACATGGGACAGCCGAAGACACTTTTACTTATTTACTTATTTACTTATTTACTTATTTATTTATTTATTTATTTATTTACTTACTTACTTACTTATCTTGAGACAGGGTTTCTCTGTGGAGCTTTGGAGCCTGTCCTGGAATTAGCTCTGTAGACCAGGCTGGTCTCAAACTCACAGAGGTCCGCCTGCCTCTGCCTCCCGAGTGCTGGGACTAAAGGTGTGTGCCACCACTGCCCAGCAAAAGACACATCCTTGAACCTTTGATCAGAGTGGTTCTTTGGGATTTGATTTTGGAGTTTTTGTTTTGTTTTTCCCATGCTACCTCTGAGTCCTTGTGAAATTCCAGATGTCCCCAGCAAGTTCTGAAATTCTGATGGTGTGTTCACTGTGGATCTTTAGTGTCACTGAGCTTCATAATTAAAATGATAAGAGCTAGTGCTCTCTCTGTGTTCTGATCACAGTTCTGAACACTTTACAATATTAATTCATGCCATTCTCCTAAAAGCCTGTGACATTAAGTACTAGAATGAGTTCTACTTACCAGTGAGAAAACCCTGGGAGTTGAGCAACTTGTCTGAGACCATGTGGCTAGAGCATGGAGAACTGACCCCAGGTTCTAGACTCTTAACATCTGCCATCTGCTGTCCCCACCCCATATAGGATATTTCCACCCAGCTCTCAGACATCTTGGACAATGTCAATTGTGCTATCAATCGCTTCCAGGAAGAATTGGGGTATGATTTAAAAGAACGGACAAAACCTCACCAACCAGAGCAAAAAGGCAAGAAGAGATTCATCTTGCTGGAGAAAATTGCTTCTTTCTCCAAAGATGCTAAGGCTAAAGAGAAACACCTGTATGAGATCCTCCGTTGGCTGGGGGACTGGGGTGAGTCTGTAGGTTTGGGGTGGCTCTGAGAGCTGGTGCTTTCCACCAAGATGGTGGTCCCTGCTGACCCAGGCCTCTTTATTTATTTCTTTATTTATTTTGTTTGTTTATTTGTTTGTTTTTTGAGACAGGGTTTCTCTGTGGCTTTGGATCTTGTCCTGGAACTAGCTCTGTAGACCAGGCTGGCCTCAAACTCACAGAGATCCGCCTGCCCCTGCCTCCCTAGTGCTGGGATCAAAGGCATGTGCCACCAATGTCTAGCTAAGCCCAGGCTTTTCCTCTCTCCACCTAAGTCAGCACTTTCAGGGAAGGGAATGGAGGTAGTGCATGTGGACAGCAAAGGACACGTGTAACACCTCTTCAGTGTTACCTCTACAGTGATTCTACCACTCACATCACATCACAGCACACAGCCGCACTCCCCAGAAGGGCTGTATCAGTCAGATCTTTTTTGCTCAGACAAATACCTGAGGGGAAAAAAGGTCAAAGGGCTCATTCTGACTCCTGGCTTCGAAGCTGTCAGCGATGGTCTCTTGACCCTTTCACTTTAGGCTGGGGGCCAGACAAAATGTCATGGTGGCAGTGGGATTATGTATGGCAAAGGAGACTGCTCCACTCATGCAACAGGAAAGCAGAAAATAGGAAGAAGCCAGGGTCAAGATATACCATAGAAAGGCACACCCTCACTCTCTCCAATTGGGTCTTCTATCACCCTCACAACAGCCCACCAAAACTCTGAATTTATCAATGGAGTAATGTGATAGGTCAGAACCCTCACGTTCTGATAACTCTGGAATTTCCCTCCCCAGTGGTGTGCTTCCATTGATCCAGTCAAGCTTGACCACCGCCTATGGGGCTGGGAAGGTGGCCCAGTGGATAAGTGCCTAAGTTCAGACTCCCAGAACCAACACAAAAACCTCAGAGTGGCAGTATGTGCCTGTACCCTCAGCACTGGGAGGTGGAGAAAGGCAGATGGCAGCTAGCCTGGCAGAAATAGTAAAGTTCCAGGTTCAGTGAGAGTTGACACCGCACTGTAACCTCTGGGCTACACACATGTGCATGTTCACACACATGCAGACACGCATAGCAGCCTAGGCTACATAGTGAGACTCTACCTTGAGGCAGCAGACAAACAGAAGCACAAAGAAAGCTGCTCATTCTTCATCATCCACTTAGTGGTCCACATGTTAGATTATGCAACAGGCACAGGGTAAGGAGCCAGATATATGGCTGCACCTCACGCTTTGTCAACAATCTCTCATGTCTACAGAATTTCTGCATAGCAGACTTGTGCCAATTATTTCACAAGTATTACCCCATTCAATCCTTGCCCAACCCTTTCTCAGGGAAGGAGTGACCCTCCCAATAGCTAGTGTACACGAAACCAGTCTACCCTCTGGTCTGCTGCAACTCCCCTGCTGTAGGGCTCCATGGGAGGTCCCCAGAGGGTAGGCTGTTCTGGTGACACCCCACCCCATCCAGGTGACAGTCTGACCTACGAGGTTAAGAACAGGAAGAGTGTGGAGGAAGAGGAAGCTCTAGACGAATGGATCGAGGTGATGGAGAAAGTGTTGCCTCTCTCCCTCATGGCCACCAAAGGAGGCATCGAGTCTCTCATCTCTCTTTGCTCTACGCTCATTGAAGAACAAAAGAAAAGGGCACAAGGTAGGTCCCTGAAGCATCTAGGAGGAGAGGTGGGTGGGAGTGGGCTGGATGCCCTCTCAAGGGAGGAGATCTCAGGAGGGTCTGTAGGGGCTCCTGAGCCTCCTCTGTGACACACACGCAGCAGCAGACAGGGAAGCCAGGGTGCAGAGCTAGGGTGCAGGGCACATGCTGCTCACAAAGCTGTTCTGAGCCGCACTGTACTGGTTGATCTCCCAGGAGACCCTGGGTTCAATTAACTCCAGTCCCAGGGTGTCTGACGCCCTCTTCTGGTGTCTACCATGCATGCACATGGCACACAGACCAAATAACATTGACACCGTTAAAGTAAAAGATTTCAAAAAAATATTTTAAAGATATAGGTAAGAATGAGGTGAAAATGAGCCTTCAAGTGCTTCCTGGAGCTGTGGCCTCATGAGGGAGGGGGGTTCTGGGAAACAAGGCCCAAAGGCCAGGAAAGCTGTAATTTATAGGCAGAACTTGAAGAACATCCTTTTCTTGCTCTAAACTCAGCTGCCAAGCCAGGGTTTGGTAAGCTTCAGTTGGAAGTCCCTTTAGAGCCTTCCTGACTCTGGATTCTCCTAAGCTGGTCAGCCACCAGCCTGACAAAACCCTGAAATTTCATTCCTACCCACACTAGATTGACCTCCTGAGTTTTGTAGATGAGAGCCCTGAAGCTCAGAGAGCAGAAGGGAACACAGGAAAACTGGTGTCAAAACCCAGTCCCTTGATTTGGTTAGTTTTTCTCAGGGGCGTGGGCTTTGGAGGGAGACAGATTTCAGTTTGAATCCCACCTCTACCAGTTTTGGGCTGTATGGCTTTGGGCTTTTTGTTTTTATTTTGTTTTTCTGTGTAGACCAGGCAGGCTTTGAACTCACAGAGATCTGCCTGCCTCTGCCTCCTGAGTGCTGGGATTAAAGGCATGGCCCTTGGCATCTTTATCTCTATGAATCTGTTTCTTCATATGTAAAATGAAGAGGATATTATCTACTTTCAGGGTTGGGAAGAGATGTGCATGGGGTATGAAATGTCTGACACCAGCTTGGAATATTCCAAGCTTAATAAACAGTAGCTAACATCATCATTTCCATGGATTCTCTTGGACAAGTTCATTGCCATTATCAATTAAGTGACATTGAAGCTGGGTATGATGGTGCATACCCAGCTTCTCTCTGAGTTCAAGTCCAGCCTGGTCCACAGATGAGTTCTAGGACAGCCAGGGCTATATAGAAAAACCCTGTCTCAAAAGAAAAAAGAAATTAAGTGAAGTTGAATGTCACAGGAGGAAGAAATGGAAAACAGAGACTATCTGTCCCATAATCTTCACCACATTGTATCTTGAAGTATAGTTATTTGTACTTATTTTCTTTCCAGAGTGTAGATTTGTGTGGTGTGTTTGTGTATGCCAGAGATTAATATTTTCCTCAATCACCACCCACCTTATTTGTTTGAGCTATTCTTTCACTGAACCTAGAGCTTTCTAGTGAGTTAACTGGATGACCAGCAAGCCCAGGGATCCCTCATTTCTGCCTCTCCAGTAATGGGGAGATAGGTGTGTCCAGTGTGTCTGGCTTTTTATGCTGGTCTGGGGATCTAAACTTAGGCTCTTGTGTGTACACAGTAAGTGCTTCACCAACTGACCATCTCTCCACCTGACAGTGTAAACTCTTTTTTAAAAGATTCATTTATTTATTATGTACACAATGTAGGCCAGAAGAGGGCACCAGATCTCATTAGAGATGGTTGTGAGCCACCATGTGGTTGCTGCGAGTTGAACTCAGGACCTCTGGAAGAGCAGTTGGTGCTATTAACCTCTGAGCCATCTCTCCAGTCCCCAGCGTAAACTCTTAAAGAGCAAAAGCTATGTCTTTTTTTTTTTAATTTGTGAGGATTATTTATTAAGCACTTATTTTAGGACTTTACTTGGCCTCAAATGTGTGCACTCTAAGTTTGAAGAATTAGAATCTAAGGTTGTTCCCATTTCTCCAATGAGGAAACTACTAAGAATGAGGAGCTACTAGGCAATGCACCCAAGGCAAATGATGCAAATTAGACTTGGACTCAAGTAACTTGGTCTCAGAATTCTGAACCCCAGGGTCATATGCTAGATTGAGCTCAGTATCCCTTAAGCACCATATGCCCTCTTGCTCCACATCTAAAGCTAGCCATTGTCTACTCGCCAGTGATGTTTGAGAAGATGCTCCAAGATGATTATTCCATCATGCATGACTATGACCAGCCCTGGAAGAGCTGAGATCTGTCACCCTGGTGATATAGCACACACAGTCTGTGTTTACTGTATTTTCTTGGGATGAGGATCCAATGTGATCTCCCACATAAGCAAAGACAATTATTAAAACAGTAATAACCTGTGAATGGTTGTAATAGGTTCTCTATATGCACACCTCAGAGGTAACAGAAAAGGGACAGGAGAATTCTTAGTGAGCTTAAGGGGTTTTGGTAGTTGACATTACAATTCCAAACATGGATTTTGGAGCTGAGAAGGGGTAAGACTAGAAAAGTAACTGCTTGTGAGGAGTAGGTTGAACTTCATGCAGCCTGGCATCTAGTCCAGGTACTGCACAGTTGGTAGACCTAAGACTAAGCCTGAGGCCATCTCAGGCCCTTCGGGGTGTCTCCTCCTAACACCTTTTGGGCTCACAGTGCCAGCTCCTTACTCTTGCCCATCCCAAAGAGGGGTGGGTAAGAATTCTCGCTCGTCAGGGTCTGGAGAGTCAGTATATCTCTTTCCTCATGAGCTTGCTGTCTCTCTATGAGAGTTTGCTGCCTTTCTCCTCTCCATCTCTTCCAGTGTCCAAACATAACTTCTGGCAGAACTGGCGGGAGAAAAGCCCACAAAAGTCCTTGCTCCTCCCTCAGCCGCTGAGCCCAGAGCAGATGCTCCAAGACAAGAACATCACCTGTACAAAGGTCTCAGAGGTGAAATCCATGCTGCAGGAGCTCCTAGACTCCACCATGTTCAACAGAGGGGAGATCAAGGCCATCAGGTACATGTCCACTGTGGTGGAGAACCTTAACAAGGCCTTGATCCTCCAGCACAACGAAAACAAGAGTCTGGAGATAAAATACAGATATCTTCAGGGGGAGATGACCAAGGAGCTCAGCAGCCAGAGACTCTACTTCGAAAAATCCATCCAAGTCCTTGAGAGCAAAAGGGATGCCCTGATAAAACAAGTGGAGGTCCTAGGGGGTAAATACCATGACCTCCTCATGATAAAGCAAGCCCTGGAATTCCAGCTCAAGATGGTTCAGACTATCAGTGGTCCAGGAGAACCAGCTGAAGCTTTTGTGGATGCCCCAGAACTCCTTAAGAAAGAGGCCCTTCCAGAGAAGGATACCACCCTGGGAGAACCCCACCAGAAGCTCAAGGAGGAACAGCTGTTTTCACCACTTTCCTCAAGTCACCTGACCAAGGCCTGGGATAGCAGCACCACACCAGTGCAACAGCCACTCTCCACCACGGCCACAGATTCAAGGACTGAAGATGTGTTCACTGGCCACACTGAGCACCTTGAGCCTGTGCTGCTGCACTCAGAGCCCCCCCAGTTCCCTAAACGATGGGAAAAACTGGTTGAAGAGGCCCCAGAACACGAAGGTAAAGGCCAGGAGGACCACTTCCAGGAGAAGGACGAAGTCCAACACAAGTCCTTTCCTGGCAAGGGTCTGTCCCCAGGGAGCTCCAGGAAGATGCTATTGGAGAGCCACATGGAACACTGGGAGGAAGAACTCAGCTGGGAGACAAGGAGGCAGCAGTGGGTGCAGGAAGAGGAGATGTGGCTCCAGCGGCAGAAGAAGTGGGCCCTGCTGGAACAGGAGCACCAGGAGAAGGTGCGGCAGTGGGAGGCAGAGGCAGCTGCCAGGCAGCAGTGGCAGAGACTCACCCAGCCAGAAGAGGAGACACGGGGCCCCAGGAGGGCCTCCGGGGAGCAGAAAGGAAGTTCGGAGAAGCTGATCTTCATGCCCACCAGCCGGTGGAGGAACCTGGAGAAGTCAGAACCATCATCAGCGCCTCCCCCGTGCCGGGCACAGTCTGCACGCCAAAGCAGGAGGTCACATTTGCCCATGTCTGCACACACCCAGCAGCCTGGCCAGGGAAAACAGAGGACCCTGAACTCAGCTGAGTTGATACAAACACCACGGACCCGCCAGGTTTCTGCTAAACCCAAGAAATGTGCTTCCTTACCCATCACTGGAACATCCATCCGAAGGGTGAGCCGGCCCTCTTTGCAGAAAGCCCCAGGAACCTTTAAGGACAAGGTGTACCATATAAACATGGAGGGCCAGATGAGAAACCTGCAGATCTTGGGGAATTCAGAATCAGAGCTGGCACTGCCACAACACCTACGCAGCAAGGCCCTAGAGGTCACTGCCATCGCCATGGAGCTGAGTGTCCTCAGGCTGCAGTGCCTGTGCAGGAAGTACATTCACTACAGACGCTTCCAGAGCCTCCGGTAGGTGCCTAGCAAACAGCCAGCATCCACCCGGCACCCACCTATACCCACACAGCAGACACCCAGAATCCACCCATAACCACTGCAAAACAGGGTAGAGCCAAAACCCAGGGGACAGATATGAAGGAATGTGGGAAGGAAAATCATGAGGGGACTCCCCCAGGTCTCCTGGGAAAGGGGACTAACAAAGGCTGTTTGGTGTCAGGCCTTGGGCAACACTAGAAGGTGTAGGAGGTACACGTCTATATGTTGTTTCCTTACAGTGGGTTTTCCCTCCAAACCTACTCTCCCTATCTCCAACCTTTATCTTCTGTCCTTTACTCAATATATTCCCTACCATTTGCTTGAATTTTCCATTCCAGGCCTGGGGTTCCTCCCCTCATGCCACCTTCCACCTTCCTGCTCCTTCTCATAGACCCCTTCCTCTTTTTCCTCTCAAGAATGAACAAAGTAGAGGCCTCTCTCTAGTCAACCGACTTGGAGGAAAGAGGAAGCCCCTCCACCAGCTAAGTCACTTCTCCCTCTTCCCAGACAAGAAGTCATCAAACACATAGGAGCCATTCGACACATGAGGGTCACCTATAAGGCCCAGAACCTCTATGTGTTCCTGGAAAACATCGACCGCCAGCAGAGCCTCAGGCTGCAGGCCTGGACAGACAAGCAGAAGGACCTGGAAGAGAAGCATCGGGAATGCCTACATACCATGGTGACCATGTTCCCTAAGGTGGGGACATCAGAGAATATGGGCTGGAGTATGAGGGAGGGGCACTGTCCCGTGTGTGAATACAGGGGGGTGTGTGAGGAGGGGGCCCTTTCCAAAACTGTAGAAAGGAAGGTTCCTCAGGCCGGGGGAGCTGAGCTCTGCAGTTTCTCCTCGGAATTGGGATTCTCCCTGTTCCCTTCAGCTCTGGCTGCCATCCAGACAAGGGGTCCCCTCACCTCCTTGCAGAGGCCCAGCTTTGCCCTGGCCTTACAGAGTCTTCTTGTTTTACTAGAGTCCTTCTTTCAGGCACTTCTTGACAAAGAATGCAGTGAAGGGTAAATGATGAGAGACCGTGGCGATCTCAAAGTGTCTCTCTTTAAAATCTGTTTCATTTGGTATGCTCGTGTGTGTGTGTGTGTGTGTGTGTGTGTGTGTGTGTGTGTGCCCCATTCCACTGGGTTCTGGGGTCAGCTGTCTTTTGTGACAAGCACCTTCACAGCCACTGTGTAGGCCTTGACAGTGTCTTTGCCAAGGTCTGTCTTAACTTGTAGTTGATAGGCTGTCTCCTTACAGAAGCCAAAAGTAGGCTTCATTCCTCCCCCTCCCCCCCCCATCTTTGCAGGCACCACTCCAGGACTTTTCCGTTCTGATGCTGCTTAGAGCCCCAGATCATCCTGAGTCCTGCTTCTCATTTTCCTTCTCTTGGCTGACAGGAGCTCTCTGTGTCTACATAGTTTCTCAATATCATGATGTGCCTGGTACAGGCCTGTTTCTGTTGACTTTACTGAGCATTTACTCAACCATTTCAATTTAGAAACTTAAGTCCTTTGGTTCTAGCACATTTTCTTAAATTATACCATAGTTCAAGTGTGATCTGCTGGCCCTGGAGACTCCGGCACAGCTAACCTGTGACCTATATGTCCCCAGCAGGGCTATAAATGAGGCCCAACAAGTCATAATGCTAATTAAAACATTTGGAGAGCCCTTTATTTTGGTTTTTCAACACAGGGTTTCTTTGTGTATAGTCCTGGCTGTCCTGGAACTCACTCTGTAGACCACTGGCCTCACACTCAGAGATCCACCTGCCTCTGCCTCCCAAGTGCTGGGATTACAGGTGTGCACCACCACCCAGCTAGAGAGCCTCTTTGTGTGTGTGTGTGGGGGGGGGGTTCCAGAGTGTAATTTTTGTCATGTCACAGTATCAAAAGGCTGGACATGCCTACTTGGTTCTATACTTTTCCAGGGGCTTTGATAAAAGGTATTAATGTGTTTGTTTACAATGAATTTTATTGTGCATGTTTAAAGTATAGTACATAGGATGAAATAAGGTAACTCTGTTGTAAAATGGTTACTGCAGTAAAACAGATCAATATATCCATTGAAGTAAGATAGAAATAGAAAATTATGGAGACACAGGAAGGAAAAAGAGGGTTCCCGACCTAGAGTCTGACTGAAGTCCAGATTCAAGATTCCAGTGCAACAAATGTTTTGTCCATTCCCGGCTGTAACCCTGAAGTTTTCTAGGAATCTCACCAAAAAGCCTGCTGCAATCTCAGTGGCTCTGGTTTGCCTCAATGCATTATCATCCTGCCAAGGAACTGCTGAATCCAACCTATAATCTCACTCACTAAACATGGGGTGAGGGGTGTTCTTAGCAACTCTTTGAGATATAACGTGAGAGTCACCAGAATGGCTAATGCTAGGACTTAATTGAAACTTTCCCTTGAAAAGTTCGTGTGCTTCCTGGGTATATCTAATTCTTTCTCTGAGCACCTCCTTCTCTTAACTCCTATGCTTAAAATCTACATTTAAAATGTCTTTTAATAAACTGACTCTTTGAGAAGCCACATCCATGCTTTTGAGTATGGTTTATTTTCCCTTTTCTTTTCTTGAATGTCTTCCTTTTCTTTTCTTTTTCTTTTTTTTTCAAGACAAGATTTCTCTGTTAGGCCTGGCTGTCTTGGAACTTACTCTGTAGACCAGACTGGTCTTGAACTCACAGATCTGCCTGCCTCTGCCTCCAGAGTATTGGCATTTTTTTTTTTTTTTTAAGAAAACTTAACCCTGCTCATACTGGCTAGTTCTGAAATTCTTGTCTGTGTTGAAGTCACCAATCCTCCATTTGCCTAAGTCAAAATCCCCCCCAAAAATGAAGGTAACTCTTCAGGCTGCTGAGGATGACAGAGTGGCGCTATGCTTCTGACCCCCACCCAGGGACATTTCATTTCATGTAGTGGCCATTTTTCCCTCTGTGGCAAAAGTAGCTATAATCTACCTGGTTGGCAAAAATCCTAAATGCAATCCGCCATTGTTAACTATAGCCTCACACAATACTTATCTTTTTTGTTACTGGAGTCTTGGGGTACAAGCCTGGTCTCTGGCAATGCTAACAAGCTGGGATCAATTGCCCGTGCTTGAGATGCCAATGAAAGAGAAAGTAACAGTGAAAAGCAGACAGGTTTGTCCCTTGTGACCATAGTTGGGGAGAAGGACTAGTAAAAGGGTCTAATGATGTGTGTCTGGGGCACTGTCATGGGGTTTAAACAGAGAGGAGAGGTCTATAGAATTAGAGTTTCTAATCAAGATGTGGTCCCATCATCCTGCAAGCTGTCAGCATCGTGTGAAGTCCCCTCCCAGCAGGGAAGCTCCGCCTTGGGGAGCACCAGAGCTTTAGCTTTCCCTTTCCCCTTGCACAAGGTTCCTGGGGATTCCAATTCCTTGGGAACCATTTTTCAAGAACCTGGTTAAAGAGGTGGGGCACAAGCGTCCTCTTTAGAGCATCTTGGTCCCTGCAAGAGCAATCACAACTGCAGCTACGCACTCACCCCAACTTTGTAACTACCGCTTTATTTTTTACCTCTGTGTGTTTGGATTTTTCTCTTTTAGATTCCACATATAAATGTGAGACTGTGCAATATTTTCTTCCTGCATCTGGCTTATTTCACTTAGCATGCATGTTGTAGTAAATAGTAGGAGCCCCTCTTTGGAGGGGCTGGGCTACACCAGAAAAGAGGTAATCTGAAATTAATCAATGGTGTAGACAGAAGAGATCCCTTGTAACTTTGTGAAGATGGAGATTTGGTTGTAACCATTATGGAAGCTCCTTAACAAATTGAAAATGGAAGCCAGGCGTGGTGGCACATGCCTTTAATCCCAGCACTAGAGCAGCAGATGCAAGCGGATCTCTGTGAGTTAGAGGCCAATCTGGTATACAGAACTAGTTCCAGGACCAGATTCAAAGCTACACAGAGAAACCCTATCTAGAAAAAACAAACAAACAAAGAAAAAAAAGAAAAAGAAAAAAAAAAAAAGAAATAAGAAAGAAATTGAAAATGAATCTCTACAGGGTCTAGCCTTCTTGTTACAATCTGAGTTTAAATGTTCCCCATAGGCTCCTGTTTTGAATTTTCAGTGTCCAGTCTGGTATCGCTATTTTGAAGGCCTTGGAGTCTTTAGGAAGTGGGGTCAGGCTAGAGGGCATAGGTCATTAGCGTTGGACCTTGAGGGTTATGCTCACCCCTGATTCTGGTGTAGCTCTCTGCCTTCTGTCTCACCTATGTGAAACAATGACTGATGGGCTGAGATCTCCCTGAAACCTGGAGACAAAACACTGTATGCACAAGGGAAATGAAATCAGTGCAACAATCTTTATAAGGGATGAGATATGGAAATGACTTGCTATGCTGCTGCATGTCTGAAATCCTAGCATTTGGACTGCTAAGCACAAAGTGAACTAATGAGGGCAGTAAGATGGCTCAGAGGTGAAGGCACTTGGCACACAAGTTTAACAACCTCAATTTGATCCCTGGAACGCACATAAAGGTGGAAAGAGAACAAACTCCATGAAGTTGTTGTCTTCTGACCGTCACATGTAGTCCACGGGCACTCACAGGTGCACACGAATTAATAATAGTAAATAACATTTGAAAGGAATACTGAACTATGATGCAGTCTTTTTTAAAAAGGCAAGTGTCTGTGTAAATAATCCTGTGACACTCCCCATCCCCATGCCCAGCTTCACAAACGGGTGTGAGTGCAAGGCTACTCTGCTTCAGACCCTGCCTGTGAGGGCTGTAGGTTTCTACTGCCTGGCTTTGTTCAGTTTTCTTTCTTCTGTTTTGCCCATTGTCCAGATTCTTTACAACAAAGGAGAAAGTAGGAACTACCCTAGCAAATAAGAATTGAAGGACTTCCAAGGAAAGTGTCATGCTAGGGACCTGGTATATAGGCAAAGGACCTCAGCCTCTCCTCAACCCAGAGCCCGGCAGGGTCAGTGACAATCAGGCAAGACTTCCTCCCATCCCAAAAAGGCCTCCCTTCCCATCTTCCTGATGCCTTCTGCTGGCTCCTCTAGTTCAAGCAAGAGTGGAGCATCCACCTAAATGTCCCTGTGGTCAACTCTGCAAAGCCAGGAAAATGCAAGTCACCTCCAGTCTTACTCCAGAGAGTCCGGTCCAGTGGTGTCACCAACAAGCAGTCCCCTCCACCCAAGCAGCACTGGGAATCTGCGCCCCTGTGGATAGCCGGGTAGGTGTTGGCTGGCTGAGGGAAGGCCAGTAAGGGGCAGGTGGCCTGGGGAAGCAACAGCAATTGAGGACACAGGCAAATGTCACTTCACTAGCTTCAAGGCCTGTCTGCTCAGCTTGCCCTGACAGGCTCTGGACTCAGATCCAGAGATAGAATGTGTATGGCAATATGTGGTTTTGGGGAAGAGGTAGCTTGACTGACTCTGAGAAAATACAAGGGAAAACCTACATTTCTATTCTGGGCATATTGACCCAGTATCTACCATTGGTCTGTCTATGTAAACAAGCCCAATTATTCCCACCATGTGGCCTCCAGGCTCAGACATGTTGAGACTCTGGGCAGCCAAGATGATGCACATGGACACCTACCCCAATGGGACTTGGTTCACATTGACGCCTACCCCAATGGGACCCACTCAGAGCTTCAGTCCCAGGGCATGTGCCCAAAAGTGGAGCCTTGGAAACTAAAACGTAGAGCCTAACCAGGCAATGATGGCACACCTTTAATCCCAGTACTCGGAGGCAGAAGCAGATGAATCTCTGTGAGCTGGAGGCCAGCCTGGTCTACAGAGTGAGTTCCAGGACAGAGAAACCCTGTCTTGAAAAAAAAAAAAAAAAAAGACATAGAGCCTGTACTAGGGAGCTAAGTATGACACAGAGGCCTGTGTCTTGGACAGTGTGGCTCCTCAGCCTATTTCTATATCTCTTTGTCTCTGTTGATATTGTCTGTCCTCCCACTCCTAGCCAACAAGGGAACCAGATGGAAGCCATATGGAAGACTGATGTGGCCTCTTCTAGTCACCCAATAGAAAAGAAGACTCCTGCAAGCCTGCCCTGGGACCAACTAGGGGGCTACCCGGATATCCCCAGGCTATTGGCTATGGATGAGCATCCCTCCCACCACAGAAACTTGATGTCCTTCAAGACTCGGTAAGGATCAAGGGTGGGGATGTAACCTGTCTTCAAGGAGACCTACCTGTCCATCTAGACACACTGGTTCTACCCAGCAGCTCAGGCACTTTTTTTTCCAAATACTAGTCCTGAACTCAGTTATTGTACCACAGCAGAAAAGAAACACCTCTCTGTCTCATCCATTCACTGGCCATCAGCTTGGGTCCTAAGACAATACTACTCCAGTTTCTCATGGACTTCCCGTAGTACTTAGATAGCCCTGTGGGTTTTGCCCTTGCACATGTTCCTTGGTTTTACATGGCTTTCTCAGATGCCCTAGCTTGCCCTTAGTCTAGCGTTGTTCTAGATGTAGAGAAACGGGTGGAAGGACAAAGAGACTGAGAGAAACCAAGAACTGTATGATAGACCTAAGACTTGGGCCTGAGCCCATCTTTGGGTTTTCATTTCTTACCTGCCTTAAAGAACTGTCACTGGGGAGAGTAACTGAGGACCCGGTATGTGGATGCAGATCTATATCCCATCACTCAGGAGGCTCAGACAGCAAGACCTCCAGTTTAAGTCTAGCCTGGAACAGCAGCAGAGTGAAGAGCAGCAGGACTCAGGACCCAGTGGGCTAGCAGAAGGCTTTTCTGGTGAGAAAACACTATCTCCTTTGTCTCTCTTGGTTTGAAGACATATCATTGAAGACTCAAGACTCTTTCAAAGGACCTATGAGGTTTATCTCATCTACTGCTAGTGCACCTGACTTTATCCCAAGAAATATCTGTAACAAAGAGATGCCATAAGGGGGTCCTGATCAGTGAGGCCCTCCTCTAGTGGTATCCCTGATTACAAGCTCCTTCTGTCTGTCTCTGCACTCCTGATATTGCCCTGGCTTTGCCCAGTCTCTGGAGGAATATGAGACCCACCCCTTTGTTCTTTCCATGTATAAATGCCTGGGTAAACATTCGGTGTACATACTATACTTGACTCTGGCATGTGGGGCATTAAGGTCTTTCTGAAAATGAAAGTCAATAGTGGCTGGGGTGATGACTCTGTCTAGGTAGCACAGATACACACATATAAGGACCTGAGCTCAGATCTCCAGAACCTACATAAAATGCTAGGCATGGCTGCACACAGCTGTAATCCCAGCACCAGGAGGTAGAGACAGATAGGTCCCTGGAGCTCACTAACCAGCTTAACTAACCTAGTCAAATTGATGAGCTCCAGGTTCAGTGAGAGACCCTGCCTCAAAACATAAAAGCAGAGAACAACTGAAGATACCAATGTCAACCTCTGGCCTCCCCATGTACTCACACACATGTAACACACATATATCCTCACACCCACATGAGCATGTACATCTCCCACAAAGAAAGAGGTTGACGGAGATACTCACAGTGAACAACACCCAACAGAAGCTTCCCTTCCCCCCTTTTTTTCTCTCATCTTTTGCTCACACTCTGTGGTATAATGCAAAATTCTAAGATCCCTTTCATGCCTCATGAAGAGCTGTTCCACCCACCCCTGAGCCTCTACTGGGATCTCAGCCGCAGGCTGAAGCACTTATCAAAATATTGTTCTCAGCAAAGACAGCTTTCTCTCTTTGTAAGAGACTTTAGGTGAATACAATTTTCTTCCCCCTCTTACAAGTCTACAGGAGTTTATTCGACTTATCACAGTTCCAGTACACATTTGCACCCTAGGCTGGATCTGCCTGTGTCTTTGTATGTTCCTGTGTTGTGCCAAGATGCCAAGATGGTGTCCTTCAAAACCTCACAGGCCCACTTCTCTGAGGTCTCTGCTTTGTCTGACTAATAGACAGAGGGCTCCTGGGCTGTCTGATTGGCAGGGTAAGGGCAGCTGTGTCTGCACACACCACTGCTTTCTGCAGTTTGTGAAGCTCTTAAAGGCCCTGCCCTCCCTTGCTCAGAGCCACTCCTGCACAGCCACGTTCATGCTGCTCTCATGCCTGCCTACCAAGAAGTCTTGAAGCCCAGACTTCCAAGGCTTAGAATTTGGTATCTGAGAAAGAGATCAGATCAGATTGGGGAGGGGGGAATAGTGAATAACACATAAGATTGAAAGGAAGGGAGAGGAAACGCCCTGTGAAGTAAGACAAGGCATGGACTCAAAAGAGGAAAGGCTGAGCCTCTAAGGCTGGGCATAAATGTCTCAGTAAGCAGCTCTACATTCATGTCCAGCCTGAGCCACCATCTGGAATTGTCCTGCTCTGGGAGGGCTGCACTGGCTTCGTCTCAGTTGCTAATAACTTGTAACCGTGCCAGCTCTTTCAGTGCCTCGGTGATCCAAAGAAAAGAATTCCAGGAACCCTCAGAGGCAGCTGAGCTTGTCCGAAAAATGTCCAGCCAGTCACTCCCTGGACCCCTACAAAGCCAGAAGGATGGGGTAGCTCCAGCTCTAGCTCCCACTCCAACCCTTAGTGAGTCTTCAACTTCTGGGTCACTGAAAACCTCACAGGGACTTTTTCCAAATGCAGATTCCCAGCTGGGCTTTGACGAGCTGTCCTAGAACTTTGAGGAACACTATTTTTTTTTTCTTTAGTCCCCAAACTGTTAGTTTTTAATAAAAAATAATTTGGTTCAGTCTTCTGTTTCATTTCGGAAAGCCACGACCCCAGAACCTCATCTTTGGAACCAGGCCCAAGGCCATCTGACAATAAGCCAGGCATCAGTCAGAGGCTTGCCCAAGTTGGGTCTATGACTTTGGGGGCCAGATGGCCTTTATTGGTGCCTGGATAGAAGTTCTATTTAATCAAACACAAATAAGTCATATTCAAGTGATTAGTAGGATAGTTCAGAAGAACAAAAAGCATGGTGGCACACACCTGTGACCCCAGCACCTGGAAGACAAAACCAGGAGGATCAGGACTTCATGGTCATTCTGAACTACAAGGGTAGAAGGAATGGACACAGACAGGTTACAAATCTAGATGGTGGGGTTCAGGAGGCCATCCCCAGCAGCCATGTGTTTGTTCAGTAGAAACCCTGCTTTAGTTAATACATTTGTCTATGACCACCTACCTACCTTCCCTCACCCAACCTGCCTCATCCCCACAATCTTTCCCAGCCTCTCCTCCATTTACACAGCCATGAATGGCCTAGAGACCAGACATAGCAAGTAGCCAATGTCCCCTCGTTTTTAGTCCCAGTTGAGGATAAAATGAGGGAAAGAGTCATGTATGGTGGTGCATCCTTTGAATCCCAGCACTCAGGAAGTAAAACAAAGAGGATCTCTATGAGCACAGGGCTAACACGAGTTCAAGGACAGCCAGGGCTACATGATGAGCTCCTTCTCAAAAACAAAAATCAAAAACTCTGGAAAGAAAAGGGAACATGGAATATGCATGGCTGGCTCGATGAAGGCTATCAGGAGTAAGGTTTTGCTTTGAATGAGAGCTTAAGCCAGCAAGGATGCCTGGTCAAAGAGGAAGACAATGGCATTCAGATGCACATCACAGACAGGACAAGCTCTGACAGGAAGAGGTGATGTCCAGGCTTACTCTTTGTGGGAGCCTCACTGCAATCACATCCCAACATATTAAAGTACATCCACAGCCAGACTCTGGAGGATGACTTTAAGAATAGCTTGGGTCACATATCGAGACCCTGTCTTAAAAGAATAACAAAAGCCTTCACATTAAATATATTGCTCAAATAATTTGAAATTAATTTTGTTTTGTTTTGTTTTGAAACAGGGTTTCTCTGTGTAGCCCTGGCTGTCCTGGAATTCACTCTATAGACCAGGCTAGCATCAAACTTAGAGATCCACCTGCCTCCTGAGTGCTGAGACTAAGGGTTTATGCCACCACTCCTCAGCATTTGAAATGAATTTTGCTTTGGAAACTAACTGGCTATAAGTCAGTTATTTACTATATAACTGACTGATATCTCTGCACCCATCAGAAAGAAATGAACTCTCACAAATTTTACTAATGCAATGAGAATATTTTGAATATTAAAGTCAACAGTAAGTGAAAATAATGTTTTACACATAATACATTTTACAATAAAATTTTAAAAGGCTTTGTATATTTTCACAGTCTTGGCATGGTGCTTAAAGTTCCTAGTAGCTTCACCAGAATGGAGGACTTGGACTTCTTATATGTCCTTTAGCAAGATCTTTGGCAAGCAAACTGTGCCTGGTAGTTTCCTTTCCTGCTCCACTAACAACCTAGAAAGGCATGTGCAAGTGTACACATGTGTGTGTGTGTGTGTGTGTGTATGCGTGTGTGTATATATGTGCAAGTGTATGTATGTGCATGTATGAATTCATGCATGTGTGTGTGTGCATGTGTGTATATGTGTGTGTGTGTGTGTGTGTGTGTGTGCGCGCGCGCGCGCGCGCAAGCGTGTATGTGTGGTGCTTTTCTAGTTGGTAGACAGGATGCATTTGTTTTTCAGAGCAGAGTTAACCTACCTGATTAAACAGGATATTGTCTGTAAAACCAAAACAACAACCACCCAAGGGGAGCTGAGGAAGGCATGGAAAGGACTATATTTGGGACTTGGCCATAGCTCTGTTTGCATGATTCAAGGCCCCAGGAGCCTCAAGATGAGGAGTCAAAAAGAATGTGGAAGAGGACCTGAGGGAAAGGTCTGTGTTAGCCCTAAGTGTGACTGCAAAGAGGTATGAAGAAAAGGGGACAAGAATGTTTCGGAAATTACCCAGGCAAAGAGCCAGGGACAGAAAGCCATGTATTCCTGTTTCACATATTGTGGGAGGATGACTCAGGGAAGCAGGATAGGCATAACTTCCTGATCAGATAAGTCACATCAAGAAGAGGTGTGCATGGCTGAGATACTACAGACGTCAGCAGGGCACTGTGAAGGAACAGGAACTAATACGTGGAAGGATCTGGTCTAGTAGAAAGGTGGACAATATACCTAGGTAAATGGAGACCTGGAATAAAGGATAAGAGATTAAAGGTGGAGCTTCTCTAAAAAGAAAAGTTAGAGGCTGGAGAGATGGCTCAGCAATGGAGAGTGTGGACTTGTGGTCTGAGTTTGGTTCCCAGAACCCATGTCAAGCGACTCACAATGCCCATAACTCCAGCTCCAGGAGCCGCTAAGTCTTCTCCTGAACTCCATGGACACTTCACACATGCACACACAGCCCACATAAACATATACACATGATTAAAAGTGAAAGACAGGGATTGGAATACAGCTCAGTGTAGAATGTTTGCCTTATACATTGGAGCCCCAAGAGAGACCTGAAGCTAAAGACAAAAGAGCATCTTCAACTAAATGTTTTTTATCTTAATTTTACACACATGAATGCTTTGCCAGCATGCATATCTGTGTATTGTGTGCCTGCTGGTGCCTGCCCAGGGAGGCCCGAAGAGGGCATCAGATTCCCTGGAACTAGAGTTACAGATAGTTGCATGTTGCCATGTGGGTGCTGGGAATTGAACCCAGGTCCTCTGCAAGAGCAGCCAGTGTGCTTAACCACCAAGCCATCTCTCCACCCCCAAGAGAACATCTTAAAATTAGACATAAAAAAAAAAACCTGTGCCTCAACAGGAAAATACTTGCCTAGCATATATGAAGCCTTGGTTTGAGAGTCAATCACACACGCACATGGTCTTACACACACCACACACACACACACACACACACACACACACACACACACGAAAGAGAGAGAGAGAGAGAGAGAGTGAGAAAGAGAGAGAGAGAGAGGGAGGGAGGGAGGGGGCCCGCAGAAAAAGAAAGCAGCTTCTCATTAGAAACTTTGGCAGCCAGATGGTTCCTGAGGCCCAGCTGTTTCCCTGCCTTGTAGGTACACAAGATCAGCAAGTAGCCCTGGGAGCTATTAGCTTAGATTTCTGTTAGCTGCACAAACAATTGGCTAGAGTACACTAGTGGCTAGTGTCCCTCGAGGCACTGGCCCTCTAGTTCTCCACAGATGCTAGCCTTTCTTCTCATGCTGCATGCTCTGCTGACCTAAGCTGGTTTTTTCACCACCCCACAAGGATGGCAGAGAAAGCCAAGAGGAGACCTGGTGTGCTATGCTCGATAGTCCTAATGTGAGATAGGTTGGGCTACTTTAGAACAACCACAGCCTGAACACAACTAGCACAGCAGCTGGAGTTCGGCTAAGGAACTGTTATGGCTGCTTTCTGAGAGGGGGAGTAGTCAGTAATAATGTGTGGCTGTCCAAAAGTAGAGAAGATTCCATGTGTGTCCTCTCCCATCAACTAGTGATGAGAGTCACCTGAGCTAGGCTGCCTTGCTTCCTGGGAGAAACCACTAGGAGGCAGCAAAGTGCTTGTTTAGGAGGCTCAAGCATCTAGTGGAGGAGAGGAAGCTTTACAGGAAGCTTAGGGACCACAGCAAGGTGGGTGGGTATTGCAAAAGTTCAGGGGCCACCTGGGAAGGTAACAGGCTGCTAAGGGGTCCACCTGAGAAGGTGCTGGGCTGAGTGTAGAGAGCAAGTTCAGTAAGGGGAGAGGAAAGACAAAGGATGCCTGACCGCCACCCTCTTGAGTGTCTAGATCCTACAGATGATTTGTGATGGTCAGTCTTCTGTCCTTCAGCCTCAGGCCACTTTCTCTGTGCCTGGCTACCCATCCCCATAGGGCCCTCAGCACTGCAGGCAGAAATGTGTTCTTGCAAATGATATTTGAGGCAACCACTTTTAAGAATTCTGCCAGGAGGCCCTCCGGTGGACTGCTGCCAAACACATGCCACGTCCTCATTCATTCATTCACTTACTCATTCAGCAAATATCTGTTAAGCACTTGACACTAGGCACCCTGCCCAGAGGAGTGTGTACACAGAAGAAACCTAATCAAGTTCCCTTCCATGGAAATGCTTGCTCTTGTATCTGAGCTTTTGGCTTTGCTGCATTTCTGCTTGGAAAGCAGATCAAATTAAATGGCTTTGTATTTCCTGGTTGATTGGTTGTTTTGGAGACAGGGTCTCACTATTTAGGCCTCAATGGCCTGGAATTCGCTATGTAGACCAAGTTTGCCTCAAACGCAAATATCCACCTGCCTCTGCCTTCTGAGTGCACGCCTTTCATCCCAGCACTCGGAAGGCAGAAGCAGGTGGATCTCTGTAGTTTGAGGCCAGTCTGGTCTACAAAGCTAGTTCCAGGACAGGCTCCAAAGCTACAGAGAAACCTGTCTTGAAAAAACAAACAACAACAGGATGTGCCAGCATGTCCAGCTACTGGTTGAGTCTTAATCACTTTTTAAACACCTACTGTGGTGTCGTTTCTGTACCAAGCAATGAGAACAGCAATATGAATAAGACACTTCCAGTGAGCTCACCACAGCACACTGGGTCCTGTCTATATATAAAGTTCTAAAATGTCACAAGACATAAAACTAGGTTTTTAAACTCATAGAATTCCCCTCTCCCTCCCTCCCTCCCTCCCTCCCTCCCTCCCTCCCTCCCCCTCATTCAGGGATGGCTTCCTGGTGTACTGTGCTGAGATGGTTTTTATGACACGGAACTACCATGTCTCTTTCCACTCCGGAGGCAGTGGTAAACTGTAGAGGACCGTCAGACCTGAAAACACAGCCTTGGCAAGTGCTGTGGAGCCAGGTGAAATGGAGAGAGGAGAAGTGAGCACT